TCGTATATTGCAGATGCACATTACGAGGAGCACCTTCCGGTAGTCCCTGAGCTGTAATTGAGGAAACAGTCAGCTACATCCTGCAATATATGAAATTGACATTTTTTTCCTCTCCTGTAAACTTCAATTTCAGGATGTGCCAAATTACCTACATCATCTAATGTGTCCTTGACTCTACTAGAAATAAAACAGTTATGAAATTGACAACAGAATGACTACCGGGTATACAGACATTGTATGTTTCTAAATTTCTCAATTGAAACTGGTTTATGACTTTTTACATAATATATGACAATCTGTTTATTCTTACTTAAATGTTTTATGGTTGTGTCTTGTAAATGCAATAAGGATGAGCAAGAGATTGGACCTGAGGCTGCCATCATTATATATCATGGCGCCAAATGTAGAATTTGACTCCCAATTATAGGGCTGCATATTGACCCTAGTGAACAGCAAATGTGTTTTTACAATCTCTGAAGGAGTCTCCACCATTACAGGTGAAGGCTCTCACCATGTTACACTGGTTGTCTGCTCCAGGAATAACATACATTTCAAACTGCGATGAATTAACTGAATTTCTGTTACTCAGAACATATTCTACACTCAGCTAATTTGCGCGTTAATGAAAACTGGACATGTACTTGTTCTCTACCATGGCCAGGCTCTGTCCATTTCCCATACATAAAATGTGGGGAATTGAACCCGGGTGTTCAGAGTAACGAGCTAAGGCTACCCTGCCCCATAACATTTTGAGCTATCACCTGTCATAATCTTGACAACTTACACAATATGTTAACGTGTCTTTCTAGGAAATAAGTCCTGTCTGACACCGCCACCAAAAAAAGCTGCCAACACCCTCTCTTCATCAAGTTAAAGTATCAGTATGATTTCATTGATGTGTTCTACAATTATTTCGGAAACTCAATGCTTCTAGTAATTATGCTTTGGGCCTTCCAATAGTCCAATTCCCCCTGATTCCAATCAGAGTCCAATGTATTTTCAGGCACATAAAACCGACATATAAGTTCATGATATACCAGTTCTTGATGTACCTGTTAATGCATTCCTCTTCATGTTCCCCCTGATCAATACATGCATGACACATTTCTATTAAAGATAAATAACTAGTGCTGAATAACCTGATGCTGTCCCAGAACTTTATTAGTCACACCTGGTCCAAGCAGTGACATCATGGCTTCCAAATATAGAACTGGGTTCCAGTGCCTTCATGCTCTATGGAAGCACGCAACATAATGATTAATTGCATCATGGAACATGTCTGCCATTCCTTCCTTGAAAGGAATTACTTGACAGATAAATTTGTACAATACAAACAATTAATTTAACCCATGTTTACTTATAGTGAACCAATAAATACAAGAACATATTTTTTAAATACTGGGGACTGGGGAGGGTGAGGTTAAGGGGAGGCATGAAAAATGACACAGTAAAAAAAGGGTGGCCAAAATATATCAACTAGGGGGGTTGGGGTGGCATAAATAACAGTTCTGTTTAGGGACTGGTCATTTATTTCAGGAACAGGGGGGCATGAAAAAATGTTCCGTAAAATGGGGAGGGGGCAGAAAAATATGATAAGTCATAAGACCAATCCCCTTTCCCTATAACATGTGGCTGCACTATTGTTGATGAGATGTAAAATTTAACTCACTCACTCAGTAGCCAACATATACTTTAAACTTAAATATCTCAAATCATAAAATAATTTATACATGTTACATGGCCTTTACATTCTGCAACATAATTACCCAAAAATGTGACCAAAAAAAATTTATAGAAAATTTTCTGAAATATATTTTGGAAATAATTCAAAAATTTATTATGCATTGCAGTGAAACTTGTCAAGTATAAAATAAAGGAATATCAACAAGAATTAATTATGTCTATAAATCTAATCCTCATCTCATATTACCATCATGATGAACAAGTACCCAAATGAAAAGTCATTTCATTGCTCGACAAATGACTTTATGTGCCATAAACTAGTTTTTATACCCATTCTGTAATGTATTAGTGTGCTCAGGTTAAAATAGGTGACTTTCCACAGGTAACTCAAGACCACATCGAAGGCAGGTGTCTGGATTCGCTATAGAGACTTATCGTAAAGAGGAGAACACGACCTCACCGATAACAGACAGTAGGCTTCAGTAAATAAATAGAACACCCTTATGCCAACTGCATACTGAAATAGATTCGCCAGAGATGAAATTGATTTGAGGCTACCATTAGTTCTCCCCGGGTTGAAAGGAGAAGACAGTATCTTGAGAAAACATGAGGTTTAGTTTGTCAGATTCTGAATTACCCTTATTCTTCAGTCACTTTCGACTGTCTAAAATTTAGACGTCCGAGGCATTGCCATGGCGACCACCATCGAATCGATTTCTGACATTGAACAGACAAGAAAGAGTGAACACAAAAAATGTTATTAACCCGTGGTGTTGGAGTGGGAGTCCAACCTGCGCGTTAAAATCACGCATATACTAATTGCAAAATGGTTATCTGGTAATTCATGACGATTATATTATTATGTGCGACATTTCGTTACATTTTGGCTGCAGGCGTTAAGTATTTGAATATGTTTTAGTGCTGCAGGAACGCTGATAGGTCAGTCATCAGGTTGTAACCTGCGATAGTCGACCCAGAATGTCCATTAGCGAAATTGAACGAAGTCCTGATTTGGATCGCTGACGTTGGATTCTTGATCTCGTAAAGGACGAATAGTAAAACAGAACGTTTTGTGTCAAAGTGCATGATAAAATCATACAATTATAATTAAATACACTGCGTTAGTATAAGTTTATACATTCCCTGTATTATCCAGACGTGTCTGACCAATTCCTAAAACGTAATCCCAATCATTCTTCCGTGTCCGATATTCGAGCAAACAAACAGACCACCCAAACAGTTGAGCATCACATGTGTTATTATCCGTTCCTCGACTACATTAACTGACACCACACAACTGATTATCCCTTACTTAAATATGTATAAGTATTAACTCTATCACCCAAAGGTCTACGCGTAGCTTCAATTAACAGAGCTCATCGTGCAGGTAGACGTTCTGACCCAGTGCCCTGAAAACGACTTCATAATCAGGTCAAGTGCATATGAAATCGCCAACACGTGTTATTCGGGTACAATATGATACGTATCTCAAACGGGACCCTTCAACATAACTCTCCGACAACTTTTGTTCCAAAAGCGCACGTGTTCGTAAAGGCATTGCCGACTTCCACAAGCTCCTGGGCAATAACCTCAAATGCACCCGATGCCTTTGAATGTTAACGACCACCTTATACCCAAACCCTGTTACGTGATACCTATGTACACTTGCTCAGCGAGGGTTTTCGTATAATTTGAGACAACTAGTAATGTAATACTGTTGTGGATAAGTGTATTTTCAAGAGCTGATTATGATTTTTGTTTGTTTCTTTGTTGTTTAACGCCGCACTCAGCAATATTTCAGCTAGACGACGGCGGTCTGTCAATAATCGCGTCTGGACCAGACAATTCAGTGATTGACATCATGAGCATCGATCCACGCAGTTGGGATCGATGACATGATTCTCTACTTATATATATAGGGGGTACATATTTTTATTTACTGACCAATAACGACACAGGAAACTTCGTGAAATTTCACACGACGTTTCATAAATTATTAAAAGAAACATATTCAGCTAACTGTCAGAAAATAAGAACAGGTAGTGTCAAATGACACTGATCAAGATTTGATGGCAGTTTTTGTACAGAAACTATTTTCTTACGACACACAAAAACTGAACTGTTATCGAATCTGTTAAACTTAATGTTAAAGTTCTATTTCATGCATAAAATAGACATTGCAAAAGCATATATGTAGCAGAAAACATGATGACATTTCTTTAAACATAGCTTAAGGCGAAGATTGGGTAATATATTCAAACCAAAGCCAGTTACCTAACCTTATGAAGACGGCAACATCATCGTCAGAATAATCGATAATATCTCTTACAACTCGTGGTTTAAATGCAGCATGAACCAGAACAATGGTACAGTAACTTGACCATCCCTAAGCTTGGAACCTTTAAAAAAACTTACTATGAAACACGAGAAACCTACAAACAACATATTATGTAAATATTAAATATGTTAACCCGACATAACCTACTTTCAGGGCTCATATTTACTTGGAACGACTCCATTATTACCAGCTTGATATTCCACGGGGCTTACTGGCCATGTCGTAAGAGTTTTTTGGATCTATAGAATGTAAATATTACAATAAAATGCTGTTTGTTGATAAATTGTAGGGCAGGAGTATTTTTCAAGTATAAAGGTAAATAGATTTCATAGGGTGAGTTTCAGGCTACAGTAAATATGCTTAAGTCATCGGAAACAGGAAACATATTCCAGACAATACTATTGATATTTTATCTTAGCGTTTCTTCACTGCGCAACTGTCAACTATACCACTAAAACAAATTACCAAAATGCCACTTACTGAATGGTATTGTATATACATACATGTATATTGTATATCTCATTGAAATGGTGGCGATCGACCTGTTCAAAAGATGAATCTATCGAAGAGATGCTTCAGCGTGGTGGTTAATTATGCATGGTAGCCATTTTACTTGGCTTCGGGTCAATAACGTGTATAAATATTTTAAGGCACAAAGGTGGCATAGAAATCTGAAAATATTACAACCCTAATGCAGTTGTTGGATGTGCGAGCGAGTTGAGTCACACGCGAAAATACAGTGAAACCCGTGACTGCGTGACACACGTCCATGACACTGGCAGAGAGCCTTATCAAAACACCAGCCGGTGAATGCACTATCGACAATTGAAGCATCCATTTACCAAAAACACATAATACAGACACAAATTCAAAATATTGGAGAGCCATTCAGCCATCATATGAGACATGTTAGAATCAAATGCAGATGTGACACTTGTCAATGGATATATGACTACCGTACTAATCACAATAAACTCACCTCAGTGTGTCCTTCATATGCAGCCATATGTAGCGGTGTCCATCCCGAGTTGTCCCGGTGCATTTCATCCAGACCTCTGTCCAGTAGTTGTTGGACAACGGCTACACTACCCTGTGCTGCCGCTACACACAATACGGTACGTCCTTCGGCGTCGATGTGGTCGACAGCCGCACCCCAGAAGAGCAGCTGAGCAACCACCTTAGCATGACCCATAGACGCTGCTGCCCACAATGCTGTCCGGTTGTTGTGGTCGCTGTGGTCAACGTCGGCGTCCCACTCCAACAGAAGCTCACAAACGTCGCTATGGCCCTCGTAGGCGGCGACGACCAACGGCGTCATGCCGTCATGGTCCTGGTGGTCGACCTCAGCCCCTCTTTCCAACAGGGAACTGACAACTTTCTCATGTCCTTCGCTTGCAGGAATGCACAACGCTGCCACTGACAACGCCGTCCGACCGTCACAGTCCTCGTGGTTAATATCCGCCTGGTAATCCAAAAGATGTTGCACGATCTCCACGTGCCCCATGTACGCTGCCGCAATGAGAGCAGTCCTGCCCTCGTTGTCAGCTTTGTTTACATTCGCGCCGTGTTCGAGCAATTTCAAAACAATGTCCTCGTGTCCACCCCATGCAGCTGCCCTGAGGGCAGTCCTCTGATCACTGTCAGCATGATCAACCTTCGCTCCAGCCTTCAGTAGAATACCCACCACAGCGGTGTGTCCACCCCAGGCCGCCGACCTCAACGCCGTCCAGCCGTCGTTGTCGGCGTGGTCGACCTCGGCTTTAGCCTTAAGCAGGACCTCAACAACTTCGGCGTATCCCTGCCTGGCCGCCAAATTAAGCGGAGTCTGGCCTGTCTTATCAATAGCTTCTATGTTAGCCCCTTTTGTCAGGAGTAAATTAACCACCTGCAGATTGCCCTGATGGGCAGCGGTGTGAAGCAGCGTCCGGCCATTGCTGTCCACTTGGTCAAGAGGAATATCGATATCTTGAAGGTCTTTCACCGACTCGGATTCATCTTTCGCCGACGGCTCAGTAATACCACTAGGGCGAACCTCATTAGACGGCATCTTCGCCCCAGCGTCCAGTAAAAGTTTGAGAACTTTCTGATCTTTAGGGAGGCCTACAGACAAGCTATCTTCGACGTTCGCCCCAGATAAGAGCAACCACTGTACTATGTGGTAATGTTGGATGGGAGCCTGAAAGTTCGTCCTCACCAGATGTAAAGCGAAGTCCTGAACTTCCGCCGGTGTGAGATTGGGCGCGTTGCGAGTGGCATGCATAGCGAGCATCCCATGGCCTTCACTAGCATTGCACAGATATTTCTGGGTACAGTGTTTTACGTCAAGTAGCCACTCAGCAAAGCTGTGGTGAAAAAGTATCTTTGTCCCCTCTTTACCATCAATGAGGATCTTTGACATGAGCCGCAATCGTCTGTCAAACTCCTCTCTGCTTAAACTTCCCGAGCAAGCCTGGGCACATGAGAATAATTCATCCTGTGTCATCGGCCGACGGGACGCCAAAATGGCGTTTAGAATTGGTTGTATTTTAGCAAATTGCTTCCGAACAAACAATCGTTGGCTTAGCCAGAGATACAACCCGTTAAGTGTGCCAGGGATCTCTCGAATTTCACGTAACATTATAAAGTTCTCTGCCACTCCGTCCAAAACTTTCTCTAAGTACAGGAAACAGCCATTACTTTTAATGTGAAGCTGGTTTAGCATTTCAGCTGTTTCCTTGCTCAAATGTTGCCGGAGGGCCTCCTCTTGGTCCAGTCGACACAGAATGTACTGTTGCACATCACGAACAATGTGAGACTTTCTAAGATCGTCCAGGCTAATTTTTCTGAAGCCTGTGAACATTCGAGTTACTGATTTGCTTTGTTTACGAGAGGAACACACTAGGAGTAACCATTCGGGGAATAAAGGGTGGTGATTTGCAAGTAATTCAGCTAGGGTTCTGCTACAGTTGACTCTATCATTGATTGTCTGCAAATACGACTCGTCTATAGAATCTACAATCATGAATAACGTGCTTTTCGGCGGGTCAATTGCGCACAGTGGATGCAGAACCGCCTGTTTGAAAGCCTCATCAGGATCGCGTTCACATTCCGAGGGCTCCAATAATCTTTGTATAGACGGTTCTTGGATCTTTTCTCTGTAGCCTATAAGTAAGTCCGATTTTGACAATTGATCGACAAGATTGCGAATAAAATTGACCAAAGACAAGGTCTCAATATCGTTTGCTTGGCAAAAGTGGTAAGCAAGCAAGCGTTTGTTCAGTGTCGCCTGTTTGCCTTGAACCACAGTCGGCCACACCAGCTCGCAACATAGGGCGGTTTTCCCACACCCAGGACCCCCCATAATTAACGCCCCACAGGTCTTAGATGAGGGTCTATGTTCAACACAATGGTTCACCTTGGAGAAGGCCCACTCACGGCAAAAGAACCGCTTTCCTTGCAGAAGACTTTGGGTCATGTTGATACTGCAGGGAGCAGACGACATAACTCGTCGAAAACCGCCTGGCTAGCAGACGACACAACGTAGATCAGGCATAACACAACACGCTGGTGTAACACCAGTCCAAGGGTAATTCACTTGTTCAAATTTAACATCACGGTTAACAATAACTCGTTACGGCTCGCATTATAATCTCCAGTATGACACAATTCTATCTCCCTGGTAACAAACCATTCCACTGCTCTCGATGACCCTAAACCTAAGCAGACTGCTTGTTCTCACAGCACACTCCACTTCAGGCCCCACATCGCGTACTGATCGTGGGGTGGGGTTGAGAGGGGGGTCGGGCCCGTCTGCAACGTGACCGCCTTGGGCTGGTCTTGTCCCCTTGCTCTAGTCGACCTCACTCCTCGCAGGTCACGGGCTGAAATATAGACAGCCATTCATGACAGAAATCAATACGGACAGCTCTCAGCCTACCAGTCTCACACAAGCTCGCGCAATATGCAGATATCCCTTATCGAACAGTATTTTACCAACACGGGCCTTTACAAAACTGATTTTGCTGCATATCAACCAAATCCCGGTGATATTGCCCTCCCGGTGTATAATAAAGTCATATTGTGGCGAGAACGGATATGTAAACACAACAACGGGTTATAACCCACATGGCGAATGTACGTCGTATGGGGAATATTTCACAACCAAAATTCACAAACAGACTGTTCGAGCCATACAGAACATGTCACAATACTTACTTCTGTCAGAAATCCTGTTATAATCCAAGATCAGAATATTTTCCGCCGCTCATGCCGACGCTTGGCTGTCATTCAGAGCGACCGGGCTTCCGACACACGATCGAACGAACCACCGACTGTGTGGCGATATGCTCTCCATGCATAATTAGCTCTGGTACGATTTCTCTCACATAGAGAGAAATTCAGCAAATCTGCACTAAAACCTTAGTATGTACCAAACAAAAACACCTCCAAGTCACCCCTATACACAACATAGACACCTCGCTACCACACGGAGGAGGCTTCCATTGAAAACGTTACGATGCTATTTTTACACACCGCCGTCCACAAAGACTAGAGTACCGCAAAGGGGTGGGCTTGTGACGTCAGCCGCGCTCTGATTGGCTGCGCGGAGGTTCTCCGTGTATCTTTGTCAATGATTGACAGATAATTATTGACTTGACTAAGTGGTGACAAAGGTTTAATAATCAGCCGAGTATGCAGTGTTTGCGTAATATGTACGTAATTAGGAAGGGTTAGACAGGGAGGTCAGAAAAAGGAATCCCTTCAGCTGGGTCACAAATATTCCAATAAGGTCGGGACGACGGTTTTATAGTGAACGTAACAACCAACGTCTTCATCGATTTTTCTGACAATTTTTTTCTAAGAATATGAAAAAAGAGCCACTACTCGCGTTCTTCCTTAAAAGCTTGTCGCAGACTCGGTATGGAGTAAGCCTTGAACAGCTTTGATGACTGTAAAGATATATGTATCGATCAGCTGATCTAAAAAGCGTAGCCAAATACTATCGCCAACGTTTAAACAAGTTTCCAGTATTAACAAAATGAATATTTCGCCCAGATTCAAGAATTAAATGGCAGACTAAGTTTATGGTTAATATGGTATTTTCTCAGTCTTGAGTACAACTAGTTAATTTGAAGAATTAATGCCAGGTATGGCGTCACAAATATCGTCTGTGACATGTAAATTGGTTTTCACTGGTTGTAATGTAATAATGAATATTTTACTGTTAATGTCATCTACAATTCTCTGACACTCGGATCAAATGACGGTGTCAGCTCTGTCATTCTGCATTCTGTCAATGTCCAGTTAGATCATCGATTTCGCGTTGTTCCGCCATTTAATCAGGCAATATAATACGTATATTATACAACTTATATTACCCATGCCTACAAAAACAACTTGTGATACACAGAACCAGTCCGACATACGTATTGATAAAGTAAGAAGTCATGTGACTATGAATGTGTTTCTTTTTTGTCTTAACATGAAACTGGGCAACTTTGCTAAAACATCATTTTCATTTCCCGATGATTAACCTAAACAAAGTTTTTGAAAGTCATTTAGAGGTGAATCACATAAGGAAGAGAATTTATGGATATCAACGTCTTTATTATGAGGAACACATCGTTTATTATTCTCCTGATAAGTAAGTTAGTAAGTAAGTTATTAAGTAAGTAAGTAAGTATACACTCCGAAACGTTGTGTTCCTCATAATAAAGATGTTGACATCCATAAATTCTCTTCCCTAAACCATACTGTTATTTTATTTTATTGATATTAATGTTAGCATCTTTATACTTAAGATCATCTCTGTGATAAAATTAACTATATTATTGTTATCATTGAAACATCGGTAGAGCTCTATAACACCATTAGTATCATAGAAACTGACAAATTATTATTCCAACAATCCAAATAACCATCAGTTGACAAGCATATGTCCAAATAACTTTAGACGTGCAGCCCCGTAATATAACGCGTGTATATTTTCAAATCTCTGAGAAAACCACTAGCTGCTGACAACCCGCTTTTAAGCGGTGCAAATGAAGCCGGGGACTGATTCCTCCACTGTGATATCTGGGGAAAAGCTGTGCGGCCAAGAGAGGAATGCACGCACGGTCCATGCGAAACGAGACTTAATCCTTTGTTTGGATGGAACAACTTATATGTCCCGTTGGTGACGCGTTTTGGTATAATACGTGACAATGTGACATGTTGTTATGTCTACAGAAGCCCCAGACAAAACAATAACCGATACGGTTTGGGCTTTGTTGTGGTCGACTATAACGGTCTGCTTTGATACGTTGGTGTGTGACCTACTCAAATTAGGTGTAGAAACGGGTTGTAACGGTCAACGGGTTTGCGTGAAAACAACCTCTAATCACGTACAATGTACATATAATCAGTTTACGGTACATAAAGTCACCTAACGGTAAATGAGGTCACGATGTTGGTCGCCTTTGTTGAAACCACGTGCACGTATGTTGTTACGTGTGATAAATTATTTGTATGAATATGTGAATATTACTATTTCTACATTCGAATGTTAGAGTCTGTCATCAGATCAATGCTAATTACTGGTATGATTTTGTATTTATTAATTACAAGCTCGGTCAGTACTGACGTGTTCAATGGGCAGAAACTTCCCTCATCCATGGAATATACACGACTTGATTACAGAAAAAGAACTATAAAAGCAATCGATTTTCGCATCAATTGAAAAATTGAAAAATATCCATGAAATATCTGTAATTTAAGCATATCTATTTGAAGAATAACCATCATACAAGTTTAACACATGCGATAAAAAGGTCACTTTATAACAATGTCAGTGCCCTCTTACTGAAAAGCGATTATTTTTTTTACCGCGATTATGGCCTAATTTATATCCGTGTTTTACGTGTAGGGTTGCATTTTGTTAGTTGGCACAGGCAGTGATATGAATCTATTTACCATAGATAAATAGGGATGGACTCACTTCAGAGAAAACTTCACCCTTCTTTGTTCACGACACTTGACAGCCTTATGTCAAAGTGACATATTGGTAATCTATTGCACAATGTCAGACAGCAATGTCAGCGAAATATACAGGGTAATTTATATGGCACGTGGCTGAAGAAGAACCCTAAAACTCTCTCAAGGAATTTAAATTTTGCGAAGCCGGTATTTATTCTAAATCGTAAATTTTCTGAGCACCTAGCGTCGTGTAATCCGAAGACGTGCCATGTTTAATTCTTGCTCGCACGCAGAATGTTATTTCTTTTACTCTCGGTCTATTTCGCGTCTTGACAGCTGAACCTTCACAAACCAATGCACACACTCACGATTGATATGAGAGGCTGAACATGTCCGGAAATTAAGCGATCGCAAGACTTTCAAACAATGGATATGTATTTCAATACACGCCACTTCAATGTGATTGAAATGTGCATTTATATCTAATTTCATTGAGTAAACGTGCATTCACAAGATTGTTTCCCCCGACGTCCGCGCGATCAAATATTTATGACACGTGTGAAAGCTGTCAAGGTGTGATTTTGTTTCAGTGGCGCGTGTCGATTATGGAATGCAATGTTTTCGGATAATACCAGGACGTATTGCCTTCAGATAATCCTGTAATCCGTAACGCTTAGCTGGTATTACACAACCATAACACCTGTAGATTACTGTAGTGATCAAGATTACAGATTGTTGGGGATAAGCAAATGTTTTATATAAACAAACAATCGGCTTTGCTTTGAATGTTTATGAGGTTATTACGTGATAAGAAGAAGTACTGTTTTGTTGAGTGAGCGAGTGAGTGAGTGTAATATGCCACCAACACCATGGCTGGGGAACATGAGTGAGTGAGTGAGTGAGTATGGTTTTACGCCGCTTTTAGCAATTTTCCAGCAATATCACGGCGGGGGACACCAGAAATGGGCTTCACGCATTGTACCCATGTCGGGAATCGAACCCGGGTAATCGGCGTGACGAGCGAACGCTTTAATCTCTAGGCTACCCGACCGCCCCCTGGGGAACATGAGAATTGGGCTTTACACATTGCACCCACGAGGGAATCGACCGGGTCTTCATTCTGACGAGCCAGCCACACCCATTCTCTATTCCAATGGCTATTTTCATTCAGTCCACACCCCGTGGAGATTCCGGGTTAAAATATTTCCCTAGGTGTTACCCTCGCTTCGAGAGGCGACTTTGTGGGCCTTGCTCATGATATCAACCCCTGGATTATCTGACTCAGTACAGGCTAGATCAATTACAGACTGCCTTCACATAGATGTTATAGTGTTATTGCTAATCGTGTGTGAGAGGTTTTCCATTTTTTATCGCGTATACATGTATTTTTGTTTGTTGTTTAACGCCGCACACAGCGATATATTAGCATGTATACGACGGGGTACCCGTGAAGATCCGGGTTAGAATAGGACCCATATAGTCATAAGAAGCGACTGTGTTTGTCGTAAGAGGCGACCAACGCGATCGGGTGGTCAGGCTCGCGGACTTGTTTGATGCATGTCATCGTATCCCAATTGTGTGGATCAATGCTCATGATATCAATCACTGGATTGTCTGGTCCAGACTCGATAATTTCCTGACGGCCGTCATATAGCTGGAATAATGCCGAATGCGACGTACAACGACAAACAAACAAATGAAATATGACGATGTCCTATTATCAATCGAGCCTGTGCCAGACAACAATAGCCACATTGTGAGTACAGATCCTGGCCACCGGGTTACGATGACACAATCTACCAAGTCACAGAGTCTGACCATGCTGATCCATTAAGTGCACGACCCGTGAAGATCCGGGATAGAATAGGTTTTCAGCAACCCATGCTTGTCATAAAAGGCGACTATGCTTGTCGTAAGAGGCGACTAAGGGAATCGGGTGGTCAGGCTCGCTGACTTGGTTGATGCATGTCATCTTATCCCAATCGATGCTCATGATGTCAATCACTGGATTGTCTGGTCCCGACTCAACTATTTTCCAGACCACCGTCACATAGCTGGAATATTGCTGAGTACGGCGTTAAACAACAAACAAACAAACAAACATACATTAAGTACACAGGGTTACGTACATGTAGTTTACATGTGTAATCCTGCTTGTATTCAGAACATTGCACTTCTGACCCGTCGAGTGGAGTTAGTACCATCTTGAGAAATATCAACTGCTTAACAATGAAGTGAACAAACTAGGGCTTGACGTCGTCAATACTTCGTCTTTGTCAATATCAGCCCCACGTGTTGGGGGACATGCGGAATTCATGTCACGGCTCAGTGCCACTCGCTACAGTTGACTGAAAACCACATTCGCTCACCCAACAAACTTTCGTCATACAGTTAACGTGGGAAGTGGGTGTCGTACAACGGCTGTCTGACGACATGTGTGAGGCCCTCTTTTAATCGCGCAACATATATGTCACCACTTTCAATATCTTATTCATGTTTCAAAAGGGCTTTGGAATTAACTACCCTTCCTTATTTAGAGGGTCTATTATGATAACGCGCGATGTTGATCCAGATTGCAATAATAGTCTAGACGCACG